AATGTGAGTTCTTTTCTATTTCCTAAGTGTCTCGGCTGGGAAGAGCACAAGAAAGAGAAATTTAAAGCTGGGTGTTGAGGGGAGACATCACATGTTGGCAGGATCCGTGATGTTCCCCAGCCGTAAAACCAGCAAGTTTTTATTAGCAATTTTCAAAAGGGGAGGGAGTGCACGAATAGGGTGTGGGTCACAGAGATCACATGCTTCACAAGGTAATAAAATATCACAAAGCAAATGGAGGCAGGGCGAGATTACAGGACCACCGGATGAGGAGAAATTAAAATTGCTAATGAAGTTTCGGGCACGCATTGTCATTGATAACATCTTATCAGGAAACAGTGTTTGAGAGCAGGTAACCTGTCTGACCACAATTTATTAGGTGGGAATTTTCCCATCCTAGTAAGCCTGGGAGCACTATAGGAGACGGGGCTTATTTCATCCCATGGGCTTGGACCATAAAAGACGGGACGCCTTAAAAGGGGCCGTCTATAGGCCTACCTTCAGGGCGCATTCTCTTTCTCAGGGATGTTCCTTGCTGAGAAAAAGAATTCAGCGATATTTCTATTTGCTTATGAAAGAGGAGGAATATAGTTCTGTTCCGTCCGGTTCACCGGAGGCCAGTTCAAAGTTACCTCTCTTGTTCCCTGAACATCGCTGTTATCCTGTTCTTTTTTTAAGATGCCCAGATTTCATATTGTTCAAACACACATACTCTACAAACAATTTGTGCAGTTGACACAATCACAGGGTCCTGAGGCGACATTCATCCTCCTCAATTTACAAAGATGATGACGGGATTAAGAGATTAAAATAAAGACAGACAAGAAATTACAAGGATATTCACTGGGGAAGTGATAAGTGTCCGTGAAATCTTCACAATTTATGTTCAGAGATTACAGTAAAGACAGGCATACGAAATTATAAAAGTATTAATTTGGGGAACTAATAAATGTCCATGAAATCTTCACAACTTATGTTCTTCTGCCACGGCTTCAGCCGGTCCCTCCGTTCGGGTCCCTGACTTCCCGCAACACCACTATCTACTTTATTAACAATATCAAGTATTAAGGAAAGGTATTTGAATTGTAATACATAGGTATTGCTTTCCTAATTAATACATGTGGACTCAGAAATTTTTAGGCTTAACGGAACTTTGCTATCTTGCAAAGAGAACAAATCCAAAGTGTTAGCTCACATTAGTCTGAGCTAAAGGTTTTGTCTCTCTGTAAGTTTTTGGGTTCAGAAACTGGACAATTCAGAGAATGGTATCATCTTTTTCAATATTGAAAACATGAACCTTTGTACATCTTGTAATGCGACCACATTCTGTTTCAGATGTAACTGAGATGAGACTTGTCCCTTATCTGGACATTACGGAAGATTTCAGGTTTAAGGTCTTTGAAAGGCAGATACAGAAGAGGCACAGAGATGTCTCATATATTCCCCATCCTCACATGTGCATAACCTCTTCTACTATCAACACCCTCACCAGAGTGGTACATTTTTAACAACTGATGAACCTTCATTGACATCATTATCACTCAAAGTTCATAGTTTATATTAGGATTCACTCTTGGCATTGCACACTCATGAACTGAAGAAATGAATGAATTTTGTGTATCTTCAGTGTGAGATTGTGTTATGTGATAGTAGTGACCATCAGTCTTGGCTGCAATCAAGGCATCTCTCTAAAAGGAAACAAGACATTTCTTCAAACTGATTCAAACATAGGACCTACTGATCTGAAAACAGGTCAAAGTTCAAGTAGCAGTTGAAGTAAGAAAAAAGCTATTTCATGAATTAAGAACTCATTATGGCACATTAGGCTTAAGTGAAGCCCTCAATATCACTTTTGAAGTGTTTTTTCTTTCATTAAGCATGCACAGGATTTTTGTCAGTTGATAATATACAAATCACTAACATTTTAAGACAAATATACACTAAAAATTCACCATTACCTGCATGGCTTTTGACTAACAATATAATGTTTTTATTTTTTAAAACAACACGTAACTGTTTCTTCCCGACTCCTTATGACAGATGTTATTATTAGGTAACCGACTCAAAAGCGATGTATTTTAATTCCCAAATGAGTAATTAGATAAACCAGCAACTCACACAATATTTTTAAAGAAAAAAATTATTTTTAAAATAGAGAAATATTATCTTAACACAGAAGAATCCTTATTTTTAAAGGTCAGGAATCTGAATTCTGACATTGCATGGGACAAAGGGAATGACAAATGCACTCAAGTGATAACTGTATGTTGGCTACATTGAGTCATTTTCTCCACATGACCTAAATATCTTATACTGAATGTATTGAGCTTGACAGATGTTTTGTTTTTAAGGATAAGTCACAATTAAATAGAAACTGTTTAATAATTTATCTTAGGAGAAAATGATCCTGGCTTTAAAAAAAGAAAATTATCCTGGTATACAAGAAGTCCTGTAATGCCTAGCTTTTTATCATTATTTATATGGACCATGAAGAATTATAATTCTGATTTATAACCAACTATTTTTATGTTAAAACAAAACAAAAAGAAATAGGCCATGAGAAGACATGGAGGAAACTTAAATGAATATTGCTAAGTAAAAGAAGGCCAATCTGAAAAGGCTACAGACCATAGGATTTCAACTATATGGAACTCAGGAAACAGGAAAACCATGGAGATGGTAAAGAGAGCAGTGGCTGCCAGAGGGATGAGTAAGTGTAGCACAGAGGATTTTTAGGGCAGTGAAACTAGTCTATATGATATGATAATGGTAGATACATGTCATTATACATTTGTCCAAACCCATAGACTGTATAACACCAAGAGTGAATCCTAATGTGAACTGTAGACTTCGGGTGATAATGATGTCAATGTAGGCTCGTCAACTGTAACAAATGTACCACTCTAGTGAGGATGTTGATAGTAGAGGAAGTTATACACATGTAAGGACAGGGAATATATGAGAAATCTCTGTAACTTCTCTTAATTTTGCTGTGAACCTAAAATGGCTTTTTAAGTCTGAAATCAAGAAATTAAATGTATTAACTTCTATAAACACATTCACTGCAAAGACTTGCATAATGCATCTGTAAGTTTGAAAACAGTTGAACATTTGTGAATGTCAATATGTAAACATCCTAGTAAAATACTGTTTTTCAGTTTCAAGGAAGGAAACTAATCTCCCTGTTAATCAAATGTTTTGGCAACTATGAAAAATACTGACCCTTAATAAATGACCCTGCATGGCTCCTTAACTGTAACACTTTTTTTTCTGTAGAGACAGGGCCTCACTATGTTTACTCAGGCTGGACTCAAACTCCCTGCCTCAGCCTCTCAAAGTGTGAGCCACCATGCCCAGACAGACTATAATAGTTTAATTTCAGAAGTTTTCTACCTCACACTGGGAAGCCAAACTAAATCAGCCATTTGAAATAGAAATACTTCTAGGGGCTGGGTGCGGTGGTTCACGCCTGTAATCCCAGAACTTTTTGAGGCTGAGGTGGGTGGTTCATTTGAGGTCAGGAGTTCAAGACCAGATTGACCAACAGGGTGAGACCCCCGTCTCTACTAAAAATACAAAAATTAGCCAGGCATGGTGGTGTGCGCCTGTAATCCCAGCTACTCAGGAGGTTGAGGTAGTTGAATTGCTTGAACCCAGGAGGCGGATGTTGAAGTGAGACGAGATCGCACCACTGCACTCTAGCCTGGGTGACAGAGTGAAACTCTGTCTTAAAAAAAGAAAAAAAAAGAAATACTTTCAGGGATATTTTGTCTTTGACTTTTAACATAAACACTAAGCTAATTCAAATAACGGTTCCTCTATGTTATGCTGGCATTGTTCCAAATAACAAATGCATAAGAGTATGTAGAGAAATCACAAATTTATCAAATTTCAAATTGCCAAATATTACTCTTTAAAATTATTGTGATCTTGCTTCCCAATTACTTCATCATCAAATGCATGCAGAAGGAATTCAGAATTGGCCTTTCAACTGTCTGCCTCTAACTTCATTCATCATCCTTGCTTGGAATACAGTAATTGCTACTACATCATAGCGAGGCACTTGGTGAATCAATGAACAGACTGCAACTACCACAAGATGCAGGACTATCAACTAACAGATTCAAACTTGAGACAGACTTCTCAATGAGAACGGAGATACTATCTTATATATGTTATGAACATCCCATAAATAATGGCCCTTCAAGGACTAGCAAAAGGGATATGCAAATCCTGACATTACTATGGTCACAGTTTGTTCCATATACTGTATCACCTTTGTAGTATGATAAAAATGAACAAACAGCATATAAATTAGCCCTCCTTTTGTTACCAACAAAGCTGGTCCTCCAGAAGATGGGGTCTTTCCCTGTTGGGTGTCACAAAGCCGATACATGAAACCAAAAAAGAGTGACAAACAGTGCAGGTTTTATTCAATTGCCACAGAATTGAGAAGCAGGAGCAAGGCTCACAAATCAACTTTTCAACTAATGAGGAGTGAGGGGGTTAAAATATAATTTCTCTAGTAAAGGTGTTTCACATTAAAGCAAAGGGAGGAATATTCATGGATTTTTCAGAAATGGGCAGGGAACTTCCTAAAACCAGAGTGCTGCCTTCCTTTTTGTCCTTTCATGGCTTCTTCTGGTCATTGTCATGGCGATTGTCAACTGTCATGGAGCTGGTGGGAGTGTCATTTAGCACAGAAATAAGATTATAAAAAGGCTGAGGTCTTTTAAAAGTCATTTGGTCAGCTATCGCGGTTGTAACCAGTCTCCTCTGGTCTGGTTACAAAGGGAACTTTTCAACACAGGCACCCTGTTTCTTAAAGATAAGCTGAGTTATTGGGGCAGGGTAAAAATTCAGTTATGTCACGCAGGAATTACATCAGGTAACACTTTTAAAGAAGAAATTTGCCAAAACATTAAATGAGTATTCAAATAAGACATTTGAAGTAAAGATTAGTTGAAAATAAAACAGTTCTACTAACTAAAGACAAGTAGTTCCCAGAGCAGGTGCATTTATTTTTATATGCAAATATATCACACTTCAATGCATATACAATAGTTACAAGATCCAAAACCTAAGCCTATCAGAGAGAATTGCAATCCCTTGACTCATATGTGTTCATCCTTAAATGGAGAGCCTCAGTATTTCATACAATAAACATGCCAGAAAAGGATTCTGGGGAGAAAACCCGTATCAGCTCAAAAGGAGAGGTTTTCTTACACTGTCTGGAGTTGTTACTGAGGTCAAACAAGATGACTGCATCTGTTTTACAGGAAACATCAAATCCAAAGTACTAATCATAACAAGGACTAGGCTGGTTCTGATGTTTACTTTCCTACCTACAGCTACTCTGTAATGAAACAAATAATATTAACAGCCCCAGAGTGAACTAATTTTACACATGCCAAATATCACATCTTATTCATTATCTCAGATAAGTAATACAAAACGTAAACTGGTAATCTGAATTAAAGGCTCCAAGTCTTAAGTATCCAATTTTCCAAGACAATTAGAAAAAGAAAAAAAATCAAATACTCTAAGCATTATTTTTCATACTTCTAAGACTATAAGATATTCATATAAATAAAAATTATACTTAAACACATATACAATACAAACTAATGAACTGTATTAGAAATCCTCAAGCATTTTGAACTCAACCCAAGTATACATACATTTCTGTAAGACTGAAAAATATCGTGAGCAAAAATAATTTGACTGTATCATATTAACTCGGTGTACAGTACTGGATTTAAAATAACAAGTGTAGTAAAAATGAAAACTGAGGTCACTTTGTATAAGACAATGATCCCTCAAAGGACATTAAATACTTGCTTTTTATAAATATTTTTGGGTTTTGGCTTTGTAATAAATATGTAATAAATATCTGCAGTACACTGTTTATGTTGAGAGCTTATCTTTCTCCATTTGAAAGTCTTTCTCCAGAGTCATAATGTCTCAGAGGTATCCCAGTGGGCGGGGAGTTGGGATTTTGCAGCAAATCCATTAACAAAGCAATCTTATCATCAATGTGCTCCTGGAGTTTATATATTCGCTGGTCAATGTAATCCATAAGTTTCTTTTCCATCAGTTCCATATTTTTAGAAAGAATCTTTTCCAAGTAGGAGCAAACAGGTTGCTCTTCCATTCTAAAAATACATTTTTAAAAATATGTAAATTTTCCCTAATATTACAACAAAATCAACCAAGCTTATAAAACGAGCAGCCAACATAAATTGCTGAGATTTGTCTCCACAGCGTGTTCTGTCTTCTTACAATGCATTTCTAGGTTCTAATATACATCCACAATAGGCAACCACAGCCCTAAATGCCCAACACATTATTGTTTAATTCTTTTTTAGTATACAATTGAACAGAAATATAAAAGTGAAAAGGAACCCCCAAAGAGCAAGTCTTTAGAAAGGGTCTTTTTGATTTTGAGCTCCAAATCAAAACTGATCTTGCCCAATTTTCTTCTAAAGTCAACATGTGTATTTTCTAATACTTCCCCAAGCAACCCTATAAAGTTTTTCTTCCTTCATACAAACAACCTTACTAAACTACTGGAAGGTTATTTTTTAACCTGATATAAAAACACTTGAGAATTTAACTAGAATGGGCAAACTAACAAAATAAATAAAAAGAACATCAATTTCTAACATTCACCATGAACATTAGAATAGTAAGTCTCGGGACAGGCACGGTGGCTCACGCCTGTAATCCCAGCACTTTGGGAGGCCAAAGTGAGTGGATCACTTGAGGTCAGGAGTTCGAGACCAGCCTGGCCAACATGGTGAAACTCTGTCCCTTACTAAAACTACAAAAATTAGCTGGGCATGGTGGTGGGCGCCTGTAGTCCCAGCTACCTGGGAGGATCGCTTGAACCCAGGAGACAGAGGCTACAGTGAGCCGAGATTGCGGCACTGCACTCCAGCCTGGGTGATAAAACAAGACTCTGTCTCAAAGTAAGAACAGGAACTCTCAGAGAATGTGGTCCGCAGAACCTTGGGGTCTCCATGATTCTTTTGGGAATTCACTGAGGTCACAAGTAGGTTTATACTAAGATATTATTTGACTTTTTCATCCTCATACTCATGAAAGAGGCTACAAAATATATGTTACTGCTCTGATGACTAACAGAATCTGTAGTTGTGTATTCTTCTCTTTCCTAAAATTTCACAAAGGAGTAGAGATTTAGTGTATAAATATATGCTTTTTCAGAGATTAATCCACTCTGTTCTCAGTATTCCTACTGTACTCTTACTAGTTATATTTGACTATACATGTATGATTCAATATATATAAGGCAGCCAAAAGCTATTATGTATAGATTCACGTACATTTAAAATAATACTATTCTCAATAAAATTTTAAAATCTGGCTTTTTTTCATAAAGACTGTTATTTATGTTAATACACAGTGGGTTTATTGTTATTTTTAAACAAATATTTTTATGTAGCCTACATAAGTTTATTGGAGTCCTCAATTATTTTTAAGAGTGTAAAGAACAAAAGTCTGAGAACTACTACTCTAGAATACACCAAAGAGAGTTTTTAGGAAACTCTTTTATTTTGAAATAATTATGGATTCACAGAAAGTTGCAAAGATACTAGTTTCTCAGTGCCCTTTATCCAATCCTCCCAATGGTTACATCTTATCTACCTATAATCCAATATCAAAACCAGGAAATTGATATTAGTATGTGTGTGTATAGTTCTATGCCATTTTATCACATGTACACATACTTAACCACAACCATAATCAAGAGGCAGAACCATTCTTTAACTACAATGATCTCCTTCCTGCTACCCCTCTATTGTCATATCTACTTCCCTAAAATCTTCTTTCCCTAATACCCGGTAACCATCAACATGTTGTTCATCTCCACAATTTTATTATTTTGAAAATGTTATAGAAGTGAGATCATACAGTATGTGACCTTTTGAGATTATCTTTTGTCACTCAGCAAAACGCCTTTGAGAGATGTCCATGTTGTTTTTTACTGCTCATCAGCATTGCATGATATGGATGTACCACAGTTTAACCATTCACCTATTGCTAAGACATTTTAGTTGAGACTTTTGGGATATTACAAAGAAAGTGTCTAATTAACAACTGTGTACAAGTTTCTGTGTAGACCTGAGCTTTCATTTCTCTGGGATGTCCAGGAGTATAACTGCTGGGTTGTATGGTAACTGTATGTTTAGTTTTTAAGATATTGTCAAAATAATTTTTAGAGTGACTGTACCATTTTATATTCCTACCAACAATGTATGAGAGATCCAGTTCCCACACATCTTTGTCAGCATTTGGTATTGTTACCATTTTTAAAATTTAGCCATCCAAATATGTAGTGATACCTTGTGGTTTTAATATGCATTTCCCTAATAGTCATGAAATCAGTGTTGATCAACTTTCCGTGTGCTTATTTGCTACTTGTATATCCTGTCTGTTGAAATGACTATTCTTTTGCCCATGGTTGAATTGGATTATTAGGTTTTATTTTTATTTTCTTAGTTTTGAGAGTTCTTCATGTACTTCAGATACAGGTCATTTGCTGGATTTGTACTTTGCAAAGAATTTCTCCCAGTTTGTATTTTAATTCCCTTAACAGGGTCTTTCACAGACAAAAGTTTTACATTTTGATGGGGCCCAATGTATCAGTTTTTTATTTTATGGATCATGCTTTTGATGTCATATCTGATAACTCATTTACTAGTCCTAGGTCCCTAGAGTTTCTCCCATAGAAAAGCTTTATAGTTTTATATTTTACATTTTAGTCTATAAGTAATTTTGTGTTAATTTTTGCATAAAGTATAAGGTTTAAGCCACAATTCATTTTTTGCCTGTGGATATCCAACTGCTCCAGCACATGTTAAAAACACAATTCTACCTCTATCGAATTATTTTTGCATTGTCAAACATCAGTTGGTGTACTTGTGTAGAGTTATTTCTGTGCTATCCATCTATAAGTCTATCCCTCTGACAATAACAGTGTTGAATACTGTGGCTATATGTCTTGAAATCAAGTAGTGATTTCTCTTATACTTTTTCAAAAATTTTTACAGTTCCTTTATCTTTTCATTTAAAAAAGTTCCCCATTTCTAAATTTTAGAATCATCTCATTCATATTTATAAAAAATCATGCTTGATTTTTCATAGGAATTGCATTAAATTTATATATTAACTAGGAGAGAATTGAGGCTTTTACTATGTTGTATCTTCAAATCCATGAATATGGTATGTCTCTCCAGTTTTTAGGGCTTTTCTTTCCTTCATCAGTATTTTATATTTTCCAGTTTACATATCTTGTATATATTTTGTTAGGTTTATAAATTTTTTCATATACTGTATAAGTACTGTTTATAGATTTACATATTTACATAAATTTACATGTATTTTTGTGTATGTTAATTTTGGGGGGCATTCTAGTTTGGTGTCAGGCTAATACTGACTTCACAGAATGAGCTGGAACATCTTCCCTCCTCTTCTAGTTTTTGAAAGCATGTAAAATTGATGTTCTTTAAATGTTCAGTGGAAACCTCCAGTATAGCCATCTGGGCCTGGATATTTCTTTTTCATGAGCTTTCCAATCATTAATTAAGTATTTTTAGTGGTTATAGGACTATTCTATTACTTATTTCATGTTGGCTGAGTTTGGTTGGTAGTTTGTAGTTTTGGGGAAATTAATCCATTTCTCCTAAGTTGTCAAATTTATGAGCATAAATTTGTTTGTAATATTCCCTTCCTTGTTATCTTTTAATGGCCTTAGGATCAGTAGTGACATCTCATTACATTCCGGATACTGATGATTGTATCTTCTCTCTTTTTATCTGTTGATAGTCTTGTTAGAAGTTTATCAATTTTATTGAAATTTTCAAAGAACTGGCTTTTGGCTTCACTGACTTTGCTTGTTTTCAGTTAAATTGATTTCTGTTCTTTATTATTTCCTTCTTTCTGCTTGCTTTTAGTTCAGTTTGCTTGGCTTTAAAATTGTAAATTCAATTTCTTTAATGGTCATAGGACTATTCAGATTATTTTATTTTGGTTGAATTGTAGTTTTATGCTACTGATTTGAGAACAATCCTCTTTTCTAAGGTAATCATTTAGTGCTATAAGTATCCTTATCAACACTTCTTTAACTGCATCCCACAAATTTTGATGTGTTGTATTTTCATTCATTTCTGTGTAATACGTTTAATTTCTATCTAGACTTTTTCTTGAACCATAAACTTAAGAATACTGTGTAATTCCCCAAAATCTGGAAATTTTGTTGTCTTTTATTGATTTCTAGTAAGATTCATTTATGGTCAGAAAACATACATTGTATTATTTCAATCCTCTTGAATTTGGTCACATTTGCTTTGTGACTCAAGATATAATCTATCTTTGCAAATCTTCCATAGATGCTTGAAAAAAGTGTATATTCTCCTATTGTTGGTAGAGTTCTCTACAAATGTCAACTCAATCCTGCTGGTTGTTAGTGGTGTTTAGTTACAAAATAATCCAACTACCTCATTCTCAAATAAAATCTCTTACGCTAAAGAATATTAAACAGTGTGGCAACATGTTTAAGCCAAAACCACACCTAGAGTCCTGAATTCTAGTCTAGAACACCATTTTGACACACTATATATTAAGCAATTAGGAACATACTAAATACTTAGCTACCTCTTAATCAAATATGTACTGCCAAAATAAGGGATTAAGAGACTGGGGATAATAGCCTGTTAACTACAAATTATTATTATCGTAATATAGTTTTTTAATAATTCAGGAATTTGCCTAGATCAAACATAATCTTCAAGGAAAATGTCACAATGACATGCTTAACATACCCAGGCACAAAATAGTACAAATATATAAAAACAACATAAAGATTATGATTCCCACAGCTCCCTTCCATTCATGCAAATTACTTTCTATTCCAACTGTGAACTAATACTTGTGACCCTTCCACAAAATGCCTGAGAAGTGTGCAAAACCTCCAGTTATAGGGACTTCTTTCAAAGTAATCCATTAGTTATCCTCTTTAAGTGTTAATGGTAAAATGTAAAACTTGCTAAAATTTTCTCTGGAAACGCATTTTAGGAGTACTCATTGAGACAAATCTGTTTCCTTTTATCTGATTTTTCCACCTACCAAATCAAAACTTCACATGTCTTAAAATAATACTTACCCAACACCAAGAATGCGTTCACCGTGCTTGGTGATGTTTTCCTGACACTCGGTCTTATTTCCCACACGGAGATGATTAACTTGACTACATAAATTCTGGAGAAAAGGTAGCAACTCAGAGTTAGGTATATTTGAGTTGTCACTTGCTTTCTTTGGTAAGAAAGAGGACATTGCATTTTTAAGATCATTTTCAAGAAGGGAATGGTTTTGAGGCACAATTTTACACTCATCAAGCTTGGTAGAATTCTCTCCACCAGGTAGTTGTGTACTTTTATCAATGTAAGTTTGTAAGTTTTCAGTCACATTCCCAGATGTCAATCCAGTTCTAAAAGGAAAAGGTGTGGAGGATGACTTGTCTAAGGCTCCTAAGGTAGATGAGGATTGTAGTCCAATCATATGCTTGTATCCAGAATTGCCCAACACCAACTGAAGCTGCTCTCCAATGGGAATACAATTCTAAACAAAGTAAACAAGTAAATGTTAATATTAATAATACTGACAGCTAACTTTTGGAGTAATTACTATGAGTTGGGCACTGTGTATTGTTTCATTTGATCCTCAAAACATCCTTATAAAGTAGGCCACTAATACTATCCCAATATTAAGCTGAGGAGACCAAGGCTAAAGGTACGTAGCCAAGGTAACCAGCCAGTAAGTGGCAGAATTGGGACATGAATGCAGGCCACTTAACTCCAGTCATGACTTTCAATTATTTCATTGTAGTTTTTCCCAAAATAAAATATTAAATAAATACTAGCATGAATAGTCAAACTGCACTGACACTAACGTTTCCACTACAAATTCTCTTTATGATAATAAAATGTACTACTCTCAACTGAGTCACAAGAACAGATAAGTTTCTTAAAATTCAATTATATCATTCCCAACTGTCAAAATATGGTAAGTCACTGACTTTTATCCAGTAGACTCTTTTGCAATGAATTTTTCCTGGAAACTACACAGATAATTACGCTATTTAAAGTTAGATGCTCTATGAATACATTTGTGACATTTTCAATGACTGAAATTAGCTACTTCTGGCTGGGTTAAGAATTCCCAGGATAATGAGAGTTGTTTTGCAGCCTCAATTCAACTGCTTATGCAGTATTATTTCCTGAGAAGATTCTGGCTTACCTTGAAAGGATGATTACAATATCTCCCTTTTATGCTCTTTAATTTTTCCTTTAGATAAAAGAAAATACCTCTAGCCTAAGTGTTAAGGCATATGGCTCTACTCTAAATTCAAAACATAAAAGTCTACTATAGATTCTTATCAGTGGGTATCATCCCACACTTATTGCTGTTCAACAGCTGGTGGAACAGACTGAAAAAGCAGTATGTAAATTAGCTGAAGAAACTCAGTTCATATACTTACAGATATTCTAAAAAGTTATTACTAAACTAAGCCAGAACAACATTCATTTATTCAACAGATATTTACCAGGAATCTACTCTGTGCTAGGTGTTGTTTCAAGCACTGGAAATAAAGCAGTGAACAAAATAAATTAAAATCCCTGACCTCACAGAACCTGTATGACAAACTACAAAAGAAAAGAAGGAAAAAGGGGAAATAAAAGAAAGAAAGTAAGAGAAAGAGAAAAGAAGTGAAGAAGGAAGAAAGAAGAGAAAAAAATAAAAGAAAAGAAAGAAAAAATGTATCATGAAATGGAGATGGTGATAAATACTTTAGGGAAAAATAAAGCGGAAAGGAGAAAAATAAGGGCCAGGGAAGCTGGGGGAAGATTTGTAATGTCATGTCCCCATCTAACTTTTTACAAACTGCACTTTGGAAAAGTGCTCTTTATAGAGAAATGTTAACCTATTTTTTTTTTTTTTTTTTTTTTTTGAGACGGAGTCTTGCTCTGTAGCCTGGGCTGGAGTGCAGTGGCCGGATCTCAGCTCACTGCAAGCTCCGCCTCCCGGGTTTAGGCCATTCTCCTGCCTCAGCCTCCGGAGTAGCTGGGACTACAGGCGCCCGCCACCTCGCCCGGCTAGTTTTTTGTATTTTTAGTAGAGACGGGGTTTCACGGTGTTAGCCAGGATGGTCTCGATCTCCTGACCTCGTGATCCGCCCGTCTCGGCCTCCCAAAGTGCTGGGATTACAGGCTTGAGCCACCGCGCCCGGCCTGAGAAATGTTAACCTATTATAAGTTTATCTTGTTTTATAAAATGCAAGTTTTGAATAAACCTGAATATTTAAATATTCCTGGAATAAGATGAATTAAGTAAAATTACAAAATGTTAACATTGGACAACTCCCCATAAGCTCAAAGGAAGTTATTCAGTTATAACAGGAAAGTCCATTTATTTCTCTATGACATTTCAAAACAAAATGTACAGTGGAAAACTACATTAAAAGTAATAATATTTACACTACAGTCAATATCAAAATTACGGGTGAACATTAAGGAGGCAGAACATTTAAACAGAAAAATCTACATGTAAAGGTATTTGCTATGTAAATTTTTCCTTTCTGACATACAATATTCTGTTTATAAAAATTCACTGATTATGAAAATTAGTCATTGGTTAAGAATGTAAAATAGTACAGTAGTGATGAAAAACAGTATGGAGGCTCCTCAAAATATTAAAAATAGAACTACTATATGATCTAACAATCCCACTTCTGGGCGTATATCCAGAAGAACTGAAATTGGGATCTCAAAAAGATTATCTGCACTCCCATGTTCACTGCAGCAGTACTCACAACCGCCAAGATACAGAAACAACCTAAATGTTCACTGACTGATGTATTGATAAAGAAAATGAAATATCATTGAATGAATATCATACAATGAAATACCATTCAGCCTTTGAGAAGAAGGATATTTTGTCATGTGACAATATGATCAATCTGGAATACATGCTAAGTGAAATAAGCCAGGTACAGAAGAATAAATAATGGATGATTCCACTAATGTGACGTATCTAAAATAATTAAATTTAGAAAGAGAGAGTAGAATGGTGGTTGCTAGGAGATGGGGGGAAGGAGAAACGAGGAATTGCTATTCAGTGAGTATAAAGTTACAGCTTTACAAGATGAATCTGTTTTACAGACCTTCTGTACAATAGGGTCTATAGTTAACAACACCATATTGTACATTTAAAAATTTGTTAAGAGGGTAGATCTCATGTTAAGTATTCTTACCACAATTTTAAAAAGATCATTTTCTGAGATGAGAGCTCTTTAGATGATCTTTTCTCTTTGGATTAAATATCAAGAAATTCAGATACATCTACATGCCACCATAGGAAATGAAGAATTCTCAGGTGGCCGTGTTGGTTAAAATTCATGGTGAAGAAAAATTACTTATAAATAAAACTATAAAAATTTAAAGACACGGCCAAAATAAAAATACATCTAGTTTTATTTTTTCCTAAAGTCAAGATTTTAAAATAGAGAAATCAGACAGTAAACTAATATTCTCTAATTGTTTCCAAAATTTGTTCACAAACAATTGCTTCCTTTTAAAAATCTTCCATTAAAAGAGTTATTATTAAACTACAATGTACATAAAACTCACTTAGACATGACTGTTTAAAACACTGATTCCTGGACCCCACCCTCTGGGAATGAGTAGTGAGGGCCAGGAATCTGCATTTTGAAGACCTTCCAAAGGATTCTGACACAGGTGTTCAATGATGGACTGTACTTGAAAAAATACACTGCCCTAAATAAATTCTTAATAAAGCTCAAATCTCACAACTTGTCAAAGTCTTCATTTATCTTCAATATTCCTTTACAAAAGTATCTTCTAATTTCCTCTTTATCTCTAAACTTGAAAAAAAAAAGCTGTGTGCACTTAGTAACTCCACATCCCATATACCCAGTTACTACCTAAATACCTTACTACCTAATCCCTCACAACTTGGTTCATGTCTCGTCACTATTCATACTTACTCCCCGAGGATCTCCAAGAAACAGTTGATCAATTCAATAGGTGTGTGTGCATATACACACATACATACATGTATATATACATGTATATACACACATACACACACACACATATATATGTATGTATGTGTCACATTACAAAGTTTTGGTCAACAATGGACCCACATATGACAGTAGTCCCATAAGATTATAATGGAGCTAAAAAATTCCAATCGCCAAGTGGCATCACAGTAACACATTACTCACATGTTTGTGGCAATGTTGGTGTAAACCAACCTATTGCACTGCCAGTCATAAAAGCATAGCATGTTTTGGGAGGCTGAGACGGGCGGATCACGAGGTCAGGAGATCAAGACCATCCTGGCTAACACGGTGAAACCCCCTCTCTATTAAAAAAAAAAAATACAAAAAAACTAGCCAGGCGAGGTGGTGGGCGCCTGTAGTTCCAGCTACTCGGGAGGCTGAGGCAGGAGAATGGCATAAACCCGGGAGGCGGAACTTGCAGTGAGCCGAGATTGTGCCACTGCAGTCCAGCCTGGGCAACAGAGCGAAACTCCGTTTCAAAAAAAAAAAAAAAAAAAAAAAAAGCATAGCATGTACAATTATGTACACCATATACTACACAGTAATAATAATAATAATAAATGACTATGTTGCTGGTTTATGTATTTATGATACTATATTTTTAGTCTTAAAGTATATTCCTTCTGCTTATATATTCTAAAAGTTAACTGTAAAACCACCTCAGGCAGGTCCTCTGGGAGGTCTTCCAGAAGAAGACATTGTTATTATACAATATGACAGCTCCATGGGTATTACTGTCCCTGAAGATCTTCCAGTGGGGCAAGATATGGAGGTGAAAGACAGTGATACTTATGATCCTGACCCTCTGTAGGCCTAGGCTAATGTGAATGTTTGTGTCTTTGTTTTAAGCAAAAAAGTTTAAAAATTAAAAAAAAAATACAAAAAAAGCTTAATAGAAAAAGGATATAAAGAAACCAAATATATTTTTACAGCTATATAATGAGTTTGTGTTTTAAGCTAAGTGCTACTACAAAAGAGTCAAAAACTTTTTTAAAATTTAAGTGTAAAAAGTTAAAAAGTTACAATAGGCTGGGCATGGTGGCTCACGCCTGTAATCCCACCCAGCACTTTGGGAGGCTGAGGAGGGTGGATCACCTGAGAACCTGGAGTTCAAGACAAGCCTGGCCAACATGGCAAAACACCATCTCTACTAAAAATAAAAAATTAGTCTGGTGTGGCGGCATGTGCCTGCAATCCAGCTACTACTACTAGGGAGGCTGAGGGAGAAGAAAGGCAGAGGTTGCTGTGAGCCAAGATCATGCCACTGCATTCCAGCCTGGGCGACAGAAGAAGACTGTCTCAAAAAAAAAAAAAAAAAAAAAAAAAATTACAATAAGCTAAGGTTAATTTATTATTGAAAAATAAAAAATGCTTTAAAAAATTTAGCATAGCCTAAATGTACAGTGTTTATAAAGTCTAAAGCAGTGTACAGTAATGTTCTAGGCCTTCATATTCAGTTACTGACTTACCTAGAGTAACTTCTAGTCCTGCGAGATTAGTTCCTGGTAAGTGCCCTACAGAGGCGTGCCATGTTTCATCTTGCATACTACATTTTTACTGTACCTTTTCTATGTTTAGATACACAAATCCTTACCATTATAACTGCCTAGAGTATTCTGTAAAGTAACATGCTATACAGGTTTGTAACCTAGGTAGATAGTAGGCTATATGATCTAGGATTCTGCAAGTACATACTATGATGGTTTCACAACCGTGAAATCCCCTAATCACCTATGTTCTCAGAACATATCCCCACTGTGAATTGACGCATGACTGTGTATATGTACTTGGAGCCATAAACAAGACACATAAGTCTTGTTTGCATGAAGCTTATCTTTTAGTGAGATAAACATGCAACCAATACAAAAACAACAACAAAGTGGTCAAAAGAGCACTGATGAAACTGATATGGATTTGGAGGTACATGCTACTTTACACTGGTTGGCTAATAAAGTTGTCATTAACAATGTAACATTAAAATGAGATCTGAATAAGAAAAATGCAGATACAGAAGTATCACAGAGAGGGGGTTCTGGACACAGAGAGCAGTTATGAGTGCAAAGGTCTGGAGGTGGGAATATATTTAGATATTTATGGAATATAAACATCAGAATGTCTGGAGCAAGCTACCCAAGGAAACATGGCAGGAGATGAAGTTGAGAAGGCAAGCAGGGCCTACATTTTAGAGATCAAGGTAAGGAATCAGGATTAACTCTAAGTACAAAGGGAGGCAAGCAGTCAGGGGGCTTTGCACAGGAGAAGGATGAGATCCAATTACCCTTTGAGGTCATTCTCGGTACATTGTGGAGAATGGATTGTAGCAGGGCAGGAGGGCCAGTTAGGAATCTCCTGAGGTGTCCAGGTGAGAACATGGTGTGGGAGGAAGAAAAGTACACATTTCCATCTTTTTTGAAATTCTTCTTTCTGTGGTTTCCATAATCTTCAGCTCTCCTGGTTCTCTTAACTCAGCCCATATTACAATACTGGGACATTAATATTTGTGAACCACACAAAATCTACAAGGAGTTCTTGCATTATTTAAAATTTTCACATCAATTCTGTGATCCCTACAGTGTTATCATTTAGATTTTATATATGAGGAATTCATATTGAAAAAAATATGAATCAACTTGCCATAGGATGCAGAACTAAGAAGAGGCAGGACAAGAGCTTGAAGTCACTTTGCCTAACATCAAATCCTTTCTCTTGCTACTCTATCACACTGCTGCCTTCTACATTTCCGGTTACCTTTCTCCTCTCCCCGTATCTTTACAAATGCAGCTACTCTCCAAGGGTCTTTCTTCCTTGCTTCAGTCCCTCCCTTCACCACAGTACCTGTTAGCTACTGTGGGAACACCCCTAAACTTCCCTTCCAGCCACTGAAAGTTCATTCCATTTCTCCTAATCCTCTGTTTCCAGATGTTTGCAACATACTTCCAGGGAATGTCTTATTCACAGCTAAAACTCAATGTTCCGAAAATTAAATTCCTTTTTCCTCCAAGCATCCTCCTCCTTTGGGCTGCATTTATATTATTAGCATCACCATCTTCAGAGCCTCGATTTCATGTTTAACTTGTTTTTTCTATCATAATACCAATATTAAGTTAGCTGTCAAGTCCCAATGGCTCCATCATTTTAGCATCTCACAATCCAGCATTATGTTACTATGTTCAATCTTAGACCTCATTCACTCTTATCTGGATGAGGGGAATAACGTGCAGCTTGTCTTCTCCTTATAGTCTCACCTTCTTCAGATTCACCTTACACATGACAGTGGCTTAACATTTCTCAAAACATAAGTCAAAAACATCTACAAATTTAAAGTAGGATCCAAAGCTCTTTATGATCTAGCTGAAATCTACTTTAAACTTCCCCTATTACTGTTTTGCTTCAGAGAAATGAACTACTATTCATTTTTCAGCTATATCAAATTCTTCTAGCATTCAAGATTTTATTCACCTTATTTTTTGTCTGAAATGGCCTTCTTTCTAATTTACTTGCCTAATCCCACCCTTCATTTTAAAGGGCTAGATAAAATACCACTTCCTTTAGTGGGCCTTTCCTTAGTGTTTTCATCATTCCCCACTTACATGCTCCAGAATGTAAAAATTCTTAAAGACTACAGACTAACTGATCATCTTTGCACACTCAAAATTGCTCAAACCAGTGCCTTGTTCACTGCAAGAAAAAAAACTTGCTGAATGAATGAATTCATAAAAAGTATGAAAATGTGTAGTCAAAACACTTTGTAGAAGGGCAAATCTATAAAGTTAACTTCTATAAAACTAAAAGATAACAGTTAAATCAGTATAAAAGGAAAATTTTAAGTCATACATTTCTTTACAAAAAGCAATCGTTCTGAAATTGTCAATGGCATCTGGAAAGAAATCCATTTCTACTTACCCGCTGCTGAAATCTAACCATATCCATCAACTGCTGAGCTCCAGGAGATAACTTTGACCCCATGGATTCCATTATGGTTTGGACCTTGTCAAGGTCTATCCTTGATCCTAGAGCAGGAAAGCTTGTTGAAGAATTTGCCAAAACTGATCTCATGTGTACCACAACTTTACTGATGAACACACGCTGCCTTTCGCCAAAGGAGAGCAACTATTATAAAACAAAAGTTCCAGAAAATAATGATATTAAAAACAATCATCATTTAAGGTCACTTCTTGGTATCACCTAAACAAGAGTGAAGCATTCAAGAATCTAAAAACTAACTTCAAGTATATTTTAAACTTTTCTCTAGAACAGCAATAGTTAGGAAAAATTCCAATTTATCATGAGGCTCAGATGAACTATTTAAATAAAAGAGTCCTTTCAAAAATTAAGACTTCATGTACAATAACAAATGAGGTGGTTAAATAAACGTTTACCTATTTAAAGAACTAAAAATAAACTACAATAGTCCCTCTTTACCTGTGGAGAATGTGTTCTAAGACCTCCAGTGGCTCCCTGAAACTGCATATAGTACCAACCTCTATATTTTTTCCTATACATACATACCTATAATAAAGTTTAATTTATAAATTAGGTATAGTAAGCGTTTAATAATAAAACAGAATAATTTTGACAATATAATAAAAGTTATGTATATGTTACTGCCCATTAGCCACTTATAGCCAAATGTATCATCAGAAGGTCAATAGTAGCCTAGTGCTGTATTACAATGCCTATGTCATTCACCTCACTTCATCTCATTACCCTTCCTGTAATGATGTGATATGGTAAAATGCCTACATAATGAGATGGAGTGAGGTGAATGATATAGGCATTGTAATACAGCACTAGGCTACTACTGACCTTCTGATGATACATTTGGCTGTAAGTGGCTAATGGGCAGTAACATATACAGTAGGGATACACTAGACAAAAGGATGATTCATGTTCCAGACAGGACTGAGCAGGATGGCAGGAAATTCCATCATACTACTCTGAATGAAGCACAATTTAAAACTTATGAATTGTTTATTTCTGAAATTTTCCATTTAATATGTTTGGACCTCGGCTGACTGTGGGTAATGGAAACCAGGGAAAGTAAAACCGCAGATAAAGGGGAACTACAATATACCTACCAATCTGAGACCTTAACATACCACAACTTGCTACTTAACAAAAAATAAGACTGGCCAGATGCCCATGCAAAATGTTTACTGAAATAATAAGTAAAATTCAATCCTTTCAAATTCAGAACTATAAGAGAATATCAGAATGATGTAACATAGCTTGCTGGATTACACATAGAAATGACGACTTCAAGGGTGATTTTCTAACTTGTTAAAGGACACTCAATTAGTAAAGGACCAGCTTGAAACCTAGCTCTTTTGGCTTCTATCCCTGTAGTTTATCCAACATTTTATTCTGTCCATATTTCTGAAACAAGAGACATTTCATTTGTGGTACAGACAACAGAGTAGCAAAATTGAAAGGGAACAGGCTTTAGAATCAGACAAACCTGAGTTTAAATTATGACTCTGGTACTTACAACCTGTGTGACCCTGGGCAAATGCTAAATCTGAGTCAGGATTAAAATGAGAGAAGACAGTAGCAATGATTTCACATAGTTGTTTTGAGGATTATATGTTAAAATGTCCAGTAGCGACCACTAAGTGCTCAAAAACTTGTAAGTGCTCAAAAACCTTGCGTCAGAACAAGCTTTCCTATCAATCCTAGAGTTTCCCTGAAATAACCCTTTGCATTCCCATGTACTTTCATAGAACAGTTTAAAAACAAAAAACCATTCACCTTCAGAGACACACACAGGTTCATATATCAAACACGGACATAGGTCAATACAGACTCATGATCCAAGATCTCTTGAGTGTTGAACCAAAGACGTGACTGTCTTCAACATTTTAAGGAAACACCCTATTAACCTCCTACCTCTCAACTTCTCTGTAGTTCCCCTTTCTCTTCTTAACCCCATGGCCTTTTTCAGCATTAAATATAATACTTAGTATACTCATTGGTCTCCTTATTGTCTGTCTCGCCCACTAGAACACAAGCAACATAAGGGCAGACATTTCAGTTTATTTACTTATTGCTAATTCCTAAATGACTGGTATAGTACCTGACATTAAGAGGCACTCAAATCTTTGTTGAATGAATATATCACTTTATTCAAATGGTTTTAGAAGTTATTTAATATATACTATCCAAAACAACATCTTGGGATAATCAGTTCCGTGAGTTTGCTATCTGCCTGTGAAAATCACTTATTTTTTCTTATTGTAAAAATAAGTTTCAATCTTCTATAAGTAATGATAGTAAGTACAGAATTTTAGAGATAAAAAAAATCCAAGAATTTTCTTCAGCTAATTTTACCCGAGATAGGTCCAAAATTTACCGAAGACTAATCCACTAGTCAGCGACAGAACTGAATTAACACTCAGGGCTGAGGACTTCCAACTCATTACCTTATCCCTAGACTCTGAAGACACAACTAACAGTTACCTTAACAATATTTTTCATGCTGAAGACAACAGTCTAATCCCTTAAACTTATTGGTTCTCTTGCTTGAAACTTCTCTAATTTCATTCTTTTTTTCTTTTTTTTTTTTTTTTGAGACGGAGTCTCGCTCTGTCGCCCAGGCTGGAGTGCAGTGGCCGGATCTCAGCTCACTGCAAGCTCTGCCTCCCAGGTTCATGCCATTCTCCTGCCTCAGCCTCCCGAGTAGCTGGGACTACAGGCACCTGCCACCTCGCCCAGGCTAGTTTTTTGTATTTTTTAGTAGAGACGGGGTTTCACCGTGTTAGCCAGGATGGTCTCGATCTCCTGACCTCGTGATCCACCCATCTCGGCCTCCCAAAGTGCTGGGATTACAGGCTTGAGCCACCGTGCCTGGCCAATTTCATTCTTTTATAAATGGGGCCAAAACTGCTTATGGGTTTTTGCCACCACTATACAGAGTTTTTAAAAATGTTTTTTGCTCAATTTCCCAACACTTCAAAATACACAGCACTACTATATTAACAATACATTATCCAAAGTTAATAAATGGTCAAATTCTATTTTTATTATTTTTTTAGTGAGATGGGGTTTCACTCTGTTGCCCAGGTTGGTCTTGAACTCCTGGGCTTGAGCAATCCTCCCACCTCAGCCTCCTGAGTAACTGGGATTATAAAAATGTACCACTGCACGTGGCTCATCGTTAAATTTTAAGAGAAAAAGTCTACTCCCTGGTCACCGGGTGAAAAATTTAAAAAAAAAAATTTTTTTAATACAATGTTAAAAAGGGCTGATAACTTTTTAGAAAAGCAATTTCTTTTTATATGTTTACTAAGTATTTCTGAGCCTCATCTCTACTAAAAATTAAAAAACACCAGGCATCGTGGTGCATGCCTGTAGTCCCAGCTACTCAGGAGGCTGAGGTGGGAAGTTAGCTTGAGCCGGGAGATGAGGTTGCAGTGAGCCATGATTGTCCCGCTGCACTCCAGCCTGGGCAACAGAGCAAGATACTGTCTTGAAAAAAAAAAAAAAAAAACAAGCAAGTTGGACTAATTGTATTACTAATCCAAAAGAAAACAAGCATACACAGAGTACAAAAACAACTTAGTTGTCAAATTAGTTAACAACTGACAACTTACCTTTATTTTACAAGCATGTGTGGAGGACTCCAATTTTAGATATTTTTTGTACAAAATAACCTTTTCATGTTCACTAAAAATAAAAAAAGAATTAATTTTTTTTACTTACATATGTTGTCACTTTTAATATTTACACTTACAAATAAATGTTTCCAGAACAATATTTAAATCCTAAGATTCAGTTTTCCTGGTGAGGCATGAAGAGTTGGGATCCATTACTGAAGCACATTGCCTATGACTACATCTACCACTTACTAGGCTCAATGAGAAAATTACATTATACAACATAGGTACAACCATGTAGCCAGACTGTATTTTAAAGCTCAATAAACACAGCAATTGTTTCCAACATGCAGGATACAAAACAGTCATATTTTGGGTTACATTAAAGACACACTGGGGAAAAATCTTCATAAGAAAAAAAATTACAAGTTGCGTTACAGGTTAATAAATAGGTTTATGTAGCACAGTCTTAGATCCCTCCACCATTTCTAATGGGCTTCCAAGAAGAAAATGTGTTCAAAGTTCCAGACTGACTACCAAGTTAACTTTTGGAAGACAGACTGCTGTGAGTTTAAGGAAAGAGACACACCTCTCAAAATTTCATTCTAATAAAACTCTTCCACTAACTAGCTATGACCTCCTACCAATTCACCTCCACTGTTAGTTCTAAACTTCAACATTTAAAAAATAACCAGGCTGATCTACACTGTCTTTAAGATCTCTAAAGTTCTAAACTTCTATGCCTACTGGCACATTTTTATCTTTTCTCCCATAACATATGGCATCAATGTCAGAGAATCAATAATTATTGCAAAAAGTGAGAAAACTCAAAACACTAATTCAGAAGAACATTTTACCGTGTACAAGCCACACACCTGTCATCCAGGACAGTACAAACATTCTTGCCCCTACTGGTTCCACAGTACTCCTCTCCTAAGTACACTTCCATATTTCTTGCTGAACTTAAAATGCCAATAGAAGCGATTTCTTCACCTCCATCAGGGCCACACCTCAGGTAAAGGAAGCAGGGCTTTTCATCTTGGTTGTTCAGGTTTCTCTTCAAAATCACCAGATCCTGGCTGAGAGGAAAAGTGGTGAAAACATCACACAGTATACTTCTCTGAACATGACTCATAACCCACTTGTTAGATCATGAGGTTGCTTTCTTCTTTTTTTTTTTTTTTGAGACGGAGTCTCTCTCTGTCGCTCAGGCTGGAGTGCAGTGGCCCGATCTCTGCTCACTGCAAGCTCCGTCTCCCGGGTTCACGCCATTCTCCTGCCTCAGCCTCCCAAGTAGCTGGGACTACAGGTGCCCGCCACCACGCCCGGCTAATTTTTTTGTATTTTTAGTAGAGACGGAGTTTCACCTTGTTAGCCAAGATGGTCTCGATCTCCTGACCTCGTGATCCGCCCGCCTCGGCCTCCCAAAGTGCTGGGATTACAGGCGTGAGCCACCGCGCCCGGCAGGGGCTTCTTTCTTCTAACTCACTTCCTTCCACTTGCCCTTGAGGTCCAAGCACCTTCCCAAGCATCCAACAAGCACTCAACACAGAATTCACACGGAAATGGAGGTGTCACACATCAGGGCTTTCCCCTCTCATTTTTCCCTTAATCATCAACATTGTACTCAATCTCCTGCCATTGACTCTCGGATAATTACATAAATTACTGGACACCTACTGTGTGCACAGGAGTAGGAGCAGGGCACAATAAACGACAAAAGTGTATTTTTTTCGAAATTAAGTCGACGACGGTCGTCTATAGCTAGACGTTTTACACAGCCTATTTTGGTGGAGAGGAGGTGGCTTGTTTGAGGGTAGGTGGGCGGACTGGCTTTGACAGCAGCCCTGAGGAGCTGTCACGCCTCTCCCGGACGTTTATGAAATTCAGAGTCCGGGTCACCTTCCCCGGCTCACGCCCGGGAGCCTCGGCCCCTTCCCGGCCGGACCCACCCCGGACCACCTCGCAGCTCCCCTCCCCCACTAGAGACCCGGCACCAACTGCTCTCCCGGATCCCGGGCTCAGACCCTCTCGCCTCCCCTCACAGCTCCCAGAGGAGCGGGGCAGTTGCCGCGCGTAGCGACCCCGTCCCCGTCGGCTCGGCGCACCCTGGAGCAGGCGGCGCCAGCAGCTCCTCCCAGTCGAAGTCACCGGGGCCGAGACCGGCCCGGGTGAGAAGGAGGTTGTGGGTCAGGGCCCCGCCTGCAACATCCCAAGAAGAGGCCAGCGTGGGGCGGCGGGTGAGGCCCCGGTCCTCGGTCCGTGTCTCCATTCTGCCGCCTTCAGTCAGGCCAGCCCAGCCCCGGAACCTCTCTTCCAGTGCTTGAATTTCCGCCGGTACAACGTGAAAGTGGGCTGCAAAGCGACTTCCGGCTCACTCCGCTTCAAGTACCGGCCACTTCTGGCTTTGGTTGGGAGAGCAGGCACCAGAGCTACGCATGCGCATGTGCCTGCTGGACTCAGGCGCGGCGCTCGTAGTGTGCGGGGAAGCGGGGGAGAGCGGAGCCTGTGGACTGGCAGACCGTCGCTCGCTCGCTCGCTCGCTCGCTGGAGACTATGCGCAGGCGCGGTGCACTGCGCGCCGGCACTAGGGTGTTTTTGCCGTTGGCTGTGGAGAAACAGCAGGCGGCGTGGACTGCCGTTGCTGAGCTGGTGTGGAATGTCTGTGGTCAGGTAGGTGTGGTCTCGTCGCTCTACGCGGCGTGCAAGACCGACTCCTGACCTCATTCTTTCCCGAGGGGACGCCAGGGCCTTTTCTGCCTCCGCTACGTCGGGTCTGCAGCGTTTGTGGCAGCGAGCGCGGTGGAGGCGCTGCCAATTCTGGTTATTTTTACTCCGAACTCTCCTAGCCTCCCTCACACATATTCTCGCGTTAGAGTGGAGGTTGAAGGGGATGATGAGGTTTTGGGGTTGAAGGGCGTCTGTGATGGGCATTGAGCCATGCTGGCCTTCGCCGGGTGCCCATCTCAGCTGACACCCCCTGACCCCATGTGTGACCTGCCCCTCGGGCCGCGGGAACCCTGGCAGCCAGGACTGGACGCTCTGGGTGACAGAAATCTGAAATGCAAGAAAGACCCAGGGACCGAAGGCAGGGGCTGCACCATGAGTAGTGTGGAAAGGGGGTCTCAGGACTCTGTTGAAGTAGAATGTGAATTCAGTCTTGAAGGAGCTTAAGGCTATGGATACAGAATAGTGGGAGCAGATGGAACTTTCTAGATGCCCCACAGAATGGGACTGTATATAGTGTGCCCCCTCATCCTCTTCCTGTAGAGGCTTGTGCAGATTATTTTTCTGTCTTTTGAAAAAAGGAAACTCTGAAATTCCACTCGTCTATAATCTAGAGTTCCAAAGTTGTGTTTAAGGTGGTATCCTCTCTAGGAAATAACGTTTTTGCTCACCCATAATCTAATTTTGTTTCAGAGCTGTCTATTCTGGGTTCATGACTCAGGGCACATTACTTTAATCTTTTTGCTTATGTTTTCATTTGAGTTTATGTACTAGGTCGTGTGCCCTCTAGCTAAAAACGAGAATAGAGTAACCTTTGTATTCTGTTTACCTGTGTCAAAGCAAGAAAAATGATGACCAACTGTATTTTTCTATAAGTAATCACCAGAATGTATGTATGGTAGGTGAATTCACCAAGATTGGAAGAGAGAAATGTCACCAAAGGTCTATCATAGCAGAATTGCAAAGTCCTCGTTTGCAAAGGTTTTTTAATATTTCAGACTCATTCTAAGTTGTCTTTGTCATTATTTTTGTCGTGTACTTCCTGCTTCTTGTGGTCATAAGTTAACATTGATCCTAAAAATGTGGACAGTCAGAAGGAAAATAGGCTCTTCAGAAACTAATCTGCAATTTCATGAGCAATATCAATATTGTAAACTGGATTTTGACTTCCTTAAATAAAGCTGAATGGCTAGGAATCAGAAAATGAAAGATTCCTATGGTCTATCCTTTCCTTTATTTCCATAGAGCCAATAAACCACCAGTCTTCATTTTCCTAAAGAAAGATTTTCCTATCTCGCTTTTTCTGTTTCCAAGCACTAGCTTCATCTGAACAATTTCAGGAGTTTCTGTCAGTAGCTGTCATTTTCATTCCTTCCATTTCATTCTTTGCACTGCCCTTTTCTCCTTCTGATGATTGATGTTCCTGACTGAATCAACACCTTCACTCCTTAGCATAGCAGGCAGAGTCCTTTATACTATGAACCCTGCCTACCTTCCAGTTTCCTCTACCTAGAATGCCGTTTTTTTCAATAGTAGGAAAAATCCTATTTATCATGTGAAACCAAGCTTACTTCATCCTGCTATAGAATTAAACAAATTCCTCTGTGCTGCACTTACCACTTTTTTGGTAGTATAATTCTCCTTTGGTGTCAGACTTTGCCAGTTTATATATCTGTGTTCCCTACTATCTGCATGCTTGCTGAGATTAGGCATTATGTTGAGTACAGGTTTGTTGTATGGAATTGATAGATTGGTGACAGCTTTTATCACATAAACTAAGAGCAGCAGAAAAAGGAAAATTAGTACATTCAATCTTAAGCTTTTTTCCAAAGCCAGGGTGGTTATGGTTCAAAGCTGACTTCAATCTTAATATGATCCATTATTCTTGTCATGAATTACAAATGAGTTTTTTGCTTTACTTTTCCCTTTGAAATAAATCATAAAATATAGTTGGTGATATGGTTGGCTGTGTCCCCACCCAAATGTCATCTTGAATTGTAGCTCCCATAATTTCCACTTCTTGTGCGAGGGACCCCATGGGAGATAACTGAATGGTGGGGGCAGTTTCCCTCATACTGTTCTCGTGGGAGTGAATAAGTCTTGGGAGATCTGATGGTTTTATAAGGGGAAGCTCCTTTCACTTCGCTCTTATTCTCTCTTTCCTCTCCCTTGCTCTTCTGCCATGAGTGCGAGGCCTCCCCAGCCACATGGAACTGTGAGTGCATTAAACCTCTTTTTCTTTATAAATTACCCGGTTTCAGGTATGTCTTTATCAGCAGCATGAAGATGGACTGATACAGTTGGAAACTTCCCACCAGTAATGATATGCAAGAACTCAATATTTAGGAGCATATTTCAAATCTGTTTTCAGAATATGAGCCAACACACATTTGAAAGGTACATTTTAGAAAAAGTAACTTAGAGTACTAATTTTCTTGAGCACATTCATTTAGTAATGCCACAGTTTAGATGTTTTGACTATCTTAAGTAGAGTGAGTTCTTACTGTATATGCCCTGCCTTTTACACACGAGTATACTTCCCAGCAAGGTGGTTATAGGAACTTCCTTCTCAGGACCACTCGAGTTGTACCTTTTCTCCTGCTTTCCCTCTCTTCTGGTCCTTGCAGGTCCCACAGTTGCCAGGAATTCCTTCTCACCCTGCTTCAGTACAGGGCCTGCAATTAAGGGAGGAGTGGAAAAGAACAACCTCCCTATCTTTTTCTCCCACCTTCATTTATAGCTGCTTTCTACCTCATTTTAACTGGAACCTCTGTTCTAGTTAGAATCATTGTTAGACTGTATATCGTTTTCAATACAACCTTTCTGAGGAAATATAGAAATGCTGCAGAGGCTCTTGAACTAGAGCTGAATCTGTGCCCACGTCCGTGGTTATCACCTGTATGACACCTTCTTATCCTAAAACTCTTACACAGCAGTCTATGGTCATACCACCCTGAACACATCCAATCTTGTCTAAAACTGTTATGCAATAAAGAGTTAACTCAGGAAGTCTGGGAGGTTCAAACCCTGTAGCTTCCAAAGAAGTTGGCTCTTGATCAGCTTTGGGAAGATGACCACTAACCTGTTGGAATGCCCTGCCTGATAAGAGTGTCTTTGTATACCTAGCTAGCTTATATCAACTGTGTGATTTATATAGTAAGGCCACGCTTGAGCCACACTCTATCAGTTTGATCTCTGGAGGTCAATTTTAAATAATTATTTAAAATTAATTAAATAATAATTACTCTATACCTATCTAGATACAAAGAAAGGTTTTTGGGGGTGAGGTAAGTAGGAATCACATAACCATAGCTTGCTGCCAACTGTGGGCTTTATAACAGAGTTCCTTGACACTTCGGTTCCAGAGCCCTTTTACACCTTTACATCTTTCTAATTAAAAAATCAGCAACATTGTTCTTGAGTCTATAGGAATGTACACTAATGGGAATGAGTATTTAAAGAGTGGATTGAAAAGATAACCACTAGGTCCCTCCCCCAACAAGTGGGAATTATGGGAGCTACAATTCAAGATGACATTTGGGTGGGACACAGCCAAACTATATCACCAACTACATTTTATGATTTATTTAAAAGGGAAAAAGGAAAAATCCACTTCAGCTTCAGGACACCTGGCTTAAAATGAACTTTCTTAATGAACCCATTTCGTAAAATGGTTTTATCCTGTTTTCTTAGGAACTTGGCAATAACTTAGAGGGTTTTAGAGTCTTAAAGGAAGGTCTGGGTGAACAAACTCTTTTTTTATGTTAATGAAGGAAAGTAGCATCCGAGCTAAATCAGCTGTAGGATTTGTTATGTTTCGTTATGCATTCATGGCACTTGCACCTTCAGAAGACGTAACTCATCAAAAATTCTACATAATATGCTGTCAACTCATTTGTAATATTGCACGTTTCCTACAGAAATAACCCATCTTTATGCAGAATGATAGAATTTTGAGGTAAGTTTATTAACCTCCCTTCAGGAATATGTTGTACTGTTGGGTTGCAGGTTAAGGGGAAGCCATAGAGTCCTTTTTACCAGTTTTACTTTTGATAGCCATGCTTTTATATACAGCATACAATGATGTAGTGTAAATATACCTGACAGCAATACCTTAAGCATGCCCTTACAATGACCCTGCATGGCAGATGTACCTGAATGTGTGTTCTGAGCTAGGGAATCCAGGGCGTGGCCAATCTGGAGATTCGTTTATTATTTATGATAAACATCTGATGCCCCGGCCTTTCCCGCGGAACTTGGGCAGCACAGGGGATTGAGGCCCTGAGTTTTGAGTTAGATGAAGGTTGCCAGGTAGAGGTCATTATGGGGAGATTGTTAAGTGAAAATGCTGTATAAACTGCATGTCTTTGCAGGCAGTTGTAGTTTTCATGCCCAGCCCCTGCCACTGGGCTGTGCAGTTATGTTGTCTAGTCTGCCGCCACTGGCCTCTCCCCTGTATGTAAGCCCCTGATAAAACCCATGTCTCATTTGCTGGCTCTGGGTTTCTTCTTTAGCTTCTTGAACCTGATGCCTTCTCTAGTGAGGTTAATGGGGCTTCTGCACAACATATGAACAGCCAAAGGTAAGTTTTATTAATTTTTAATTATATTTTTCTTTACTTATTGTGGACATTTTACTTTTCTCACTTTCTCTCTTCAAATCAAGTGTGAGCTTTTTAAATAGCAGCAGCTGTCTTTAGTTACATGTGAATCCCCAGCA